CCCCCCCCTCAATATTACATTTATCAAATAAAAATTGTACTTTAATCTGTACATTTTTTTTTGCAAGCCTGTTTCTGCCACGGAAAAAAAATAAATAATTATGACTGTCTATCTCACCATTCAGATTTTTATTTATTTATTTATTTTATTATTTTTATAATTTTTATTGCATTTTTGAGGGAAAAAAAAGTCAGAATTGTGAGATATGAACTCAAAATTCAGACTTTTATGTCTCGCAATTCTGAATTTCTTTTTCTTAATTCTGAGTTTACATATTGCAATTCTGTTTTAGTTTTTTGTTTTTTTTATTTCTGCCATGAAATAAAGAATAAAAAGATAATTGTGACTTCTTATCTCACAATTCTGACAAATTTTCTCACAATTGCAAGTTTCTATTCAAATTCTAACTTTATATCTCACAATTCTTACATTCTGTTTTTTTCCTCCTCCCCACCGTGGAATATATATAAAGGAAAAAAAAAAAGTATTTGTAACTTTTTCATCTCACAATTCTGACTTTTCATCTCAGCTTTCTAAGAATAAACATCAGTATTGTAAGACATATACTTGCAATTGTGCGAAAAAAGTCAGAATTTTGAGATAAAAGAATCACAATCACCTTTTTAAATTCATTTATTTTTTAATCCTGTAGTGGAATTTTTTTTCTTCCAGCCTAATGCTGAATACTAAAATAGTGTTTATATGTAAATCTGGGTGATTTTTAGCATCAGTTACTGTCAGCTTTATAATAATGAAAAACCTGAGCTGCTACGAAAGGCAAAATTCGATTGTAAATACTAGTCAGATGTCCAAAACCAAGCAAAGCTTTTATTAGCGGTGTAATAAATATGTGACATGTCTGATAGTGTCACCAGGGGACGCTCTCTGTGTTTCTAACCCCAGTATGCGAGTAAATGCGCTGACCTGATTCTGCACACGCCTGCTTGAAAGTGTCTTTATCTGGGGTACAGAGTTTCTTTCTGTGCTTTTATTTATTTATGGCCCAACCCATTAACCTATATACAGTATATCATCCCAGTCCCAGTCTCAAGCCTTGTGCTGAAGTGTGTTTTATTTATGTGCACACACACTCTCCACACGCACAACATTCATGCATCAGTCGAAAATGTCTTGTGAATGGCAACTGAGCAGTGGACAGAAGATGATATATTATTCATGTGTCTGTTAGAGTGTGTAGACCATTCACACGCTCTCATGTTAGGGTGGATAGTGAAGTCGACACAGAGTCTTGTTTCAAATAAGCCCAGAAATACAGAAACTCTCCTGTATTTCACAACATCTCAAAGATAACATCTATGTCACCTCTAGTAAAAACAGTACAGAAGAATTCCTAAGTGAAATACTTTCCTCTTAAAATTAAAAATGGGTGCCAACAGTGTCCTATAAAACATATGAAAGGCAAAATTCGATTGTAAATACTAGTCAGATGTCCAAAACCAAGCAAAGCTTTTATTAGCGGTGTAATAAATATGTGACATGTCTGATAGTGTCACCAGGGGACGCTCTCTGTGTTTCTAACCCCAGTATGCGAGTAAATGCGCTGACCTGATTCTGCACACGCCTGCTTGAAAGTGTCTTTATCTGGGGTACAGAGTTTCTTTCTGTGCTTTTATTTATTTATGGCCCAACCCATTAACCTATATACAGTACATCATCCCAGTCCCAGTCTCAAGCCTGTGCTGAAGTGTGTTTTATTTATGTGCACACACACTCTCCACACGCACAACATTCATGCATCAGTGGAAAATGTCTTGTGAATGGCAACTGAGCAGTGGACAGAAGATGATATATTATTCATGTGTCTGTTAGAGTGTGTAGACCATTCACACGCTCTCATGTTAGGGTGGATAGTGAAGTCGACACAGAGTCTTGTTTCAAATAAGCCCAGAAATACAGAAACTCTCCTGTATTTCACAACATCTCAAAGATAACATCTATGTCACCTCTAGTAAAAACAGTACAGAAGAATTCCTAAGTGAAATACTTTCCTCTTAAAATTAAAAATGGGTGCCAACAGTGTCCTATAAAACATATAAAGTTTTATGTTGTGTGCTGATCTGTCATCTGTGCTGTCCTGCAGGGTCAGATCACTCTCATGGATGCTCCAGTGTTCAAAGCCATCCAGCCTGAGGTAAGTCTATTGTTCATGATAGCACTGTGCTAACTTATGCACAGTGTCCAAATGTTACACTTTGCCACTCCTTCCAGTTGCAGGTGAATAAAGAAAATTTGCTGTGCATGGAAAAAAAAATTAGACCATGAAATGAGAGTTTGCATTGTTTTTATTAATATCATTGTTATTGTTGTTTTATTATTATCATTGTTTATATATATAAAAATATAGCGTGTATAGTATAGTATATGTAGTGTGTTTATGATTATGATGGAGTTATTTTTGATGTGTATATATATGTATATATGTATATTATTGTATTGTTATTTTTATAAAACATTGAAATGAGTCATGTATGATATGTATATTTTAATTGTATTATTTATTTTAGTGCTGGGCAACGATTAATCGCGAATAATCGCGTCCAAAATAAAAGTTTTTGTTTATATAGGAAATGTGTGTGTACTGTGTATATTTATTATATATTTTACAAATATTTACATGTGTATATATTTATATTCATATAATTTATATTATATATAAATATATTTAATATATAAACATAATATATTTTTCTTAAATATATGCATGCATATGTGTGTAATTATATATGCATAATAAATATACACAGTACACACACATGAATTATGTAAACAAAAACTTTTATTTTGGATGCGATTATTCGCGATTAATCGTTGCCCAGCACTAATTCATTCATTTATTTATTTCTAAATACATTTGCTCTCCTACAATTAGTCAATTCCCGATGGACAAAAACTTTTTTTCCTTTTTCCCCTCGTTCAATAGACGTTCTCACTCTGATATAGAAAAAAAGTTGGTCACAGTTTCCATTTCATGTTGACTTTAAAGTGTTGTCACATTAGAGACAGAAAAAAGAATAGATAAACCACTGATGGTAAAACTGTTCGCTTAGGGAAAGTTGTTGGAACATAGAAGATGTGCAAGTTGCAGCAGAAGGTTTTTTTTTTTTTGGTAGCTGGTTGTGTTCATGATTTGAATTGCTCACTTCACAAAGGTGAGGTCAGACTGCTCAAAACATGATGTTGCTATTACTAACACAGTTAGCAGCCAACTGGTGAGTAACTTTTTATTTACACGCCAAAGGCATTTTTTTCTCTTTTAGTGCAGAATGTTTATTTTGGTCAGGGTTTTATGAAGTCCCAAACCAAATTTGTTTGCGTGTGCAAATGTTTCCTTGGTTAAACTAGCTGAAATGGCAGAAAGCCATTGTTTTGTGTGATTCCTGTGTGACTGACTCACAGGGCTGCCGCTGACTGAAATATCATACTCGCACTGTCAGCCGTACACAGTGTGTTTAATTTGGACAAGTCCAGTGAAACCAGCCACTATTAACAAAATAGGCTGTGATATTTAGATCTGGTTTATGTGTGGCAGTTCCAGGGTTTCCCAGCAGAGGGCAGTAAGAGCACTGAAATGTTTCTGTTCTTCACGCTCTTCATCCACAGCTTCCATTGGACTGAGTAAAACATCCACACACACACCAGATCAAATATTACACGGAAATATTTTTTTTCTTAACATTATTTAGCCGTTTTTTTTTATTATTGAAATATTTGTGACAGACAGCACATTATAAAACGGATAGTTCCGGTCCTTGATTCTGATTGGTTGAGCCAAGTTCGAAGCTGTTGTAAATGACTCTACAAACATACACCTTTGTTTACATTTGTGTGTTGCTCGGCAACCACTTTGTTGGAACCACAACCGTTTCTGAGGAACTACATTGTTTAGCGGAAGAATACTGTTTTTATTAATATCATTACACTTTATTTGCTCTGTTTTATTTTGTGAAACCTTACTACGTATATGGAATAACCGTTTTTATAAAAGCAATAAGCCCCGTGAAGCCGTTGCCCGGCTTCTTGGGGCTTATTGCTTTATTTCATTACGGCAGAAGCATTATTTCGCTAGCAGCAGTATACTCAAGATGAGTCAGCCTCCATCGCTCAATAAAATGGCATCTGCCACAAAAACATAAAAATTCATAATAATTTTGTTTCAGATATGTTTGCCTTAGTGGATAAATAGATTGTTCACACAAAAACTCTAAATAAAAATTCTGTCATTTACTCACCCTCATATCGTCTCAAACATGCATGACTTTCTTCTGTTGACCATAAAAGATTTTTTATTTTTTTATTTTTTATTATTTTGTAAAATGCAAAATAAAGGCGACCAATACGGTTTGATTATCAACATTCTACAAACTATCTTACTAAAATGATGATGAGTAAATGATGCCAGACTTTTCATTTTTGGGTGAACTATCCTTTTGAATGTGAAGAATATTACACATGTGATGGCACATGGAGGGGGAAAAACTCTGTGATAAATGTCTATGATAGACCTGGCGACCGAAGCTTCTGTAGAAGAAACCCGCAGCTATATAGAGTACCAAATAAATGACTGTGGTTATTTTGCTTATTGACATCTGGGCCTTGGTCTCCACTCACTGCCCTCTATGTCGTCCTCTCCCTCTCTCTGCTCTTTGAACGATTTATTAGCGCAGGCATGTTTTATCCACTGTCTGTAAAGCTGGGCTTTCAGCCACACAGACTGTGATTTATAAAGCATTTGATGAGGCTACCACACATTGAATACTAATGTAGCGTTTGGGGCTTTTTTTTCTGACGACTGAGGGGGGGAACTAAATGTTATGTGATTTGTTTAATGCGTTTGTGGGAAATTATTGTGTCTGGCATTAATTTTTTTGTCATTATTTATGGTAATTACAGTAAATTGTGTGATTAGGTCTACCGTTTTCTGTCGTTGAACGGTTTGATTATGCAGCGGCGTTATTTGGCTTTGAGCAGTTTTTTGGATGCTTGCTTGGAGAGGAGAGAGTGAAATTGCAGGTCGCTTCTTTGGAAAGATGAGGGTCTGGTTCTCTGGAAGACGATACAGAACTAACCTCTGATTTTCAAAATGTCTGGGATTGATTTAGCCAAGCAGTTTAGCCAACATGCGTATCATTCGACAAATTATGTGTATAGATGATGGTTCTTTCAAAATGTTCTGGATCAGATCTGGCTTTCTGTCTCGTTTTGTGTGTATCTGGCAGTTTTAGTATTCTGTGGAAGGGATTTGTCGAAGGATTATTTGTGCTTTTTTTGAATCTGGCAGCACATCCATTTGTGTCGTTGTGTAACATGAGAGTAAAAGGCAGAGGGTGACGTAATATGAATGTGAATGTCAGGCTACTGCTTTATCATGCACTGTTGTTTCTGATATTACACATTGTAAAGTTTGTAGTGTCAGGACAAAAGGTAGTGTAGATGTATTCTTATTTTGACAAAAACAAATGGTTGTTCTGGTGGTGGCTGGGTTTAATTAAAAGATATTCAAAAGTTTGAATTATAAAGTTTTATGCCTGTAGTCAGAAGATGTTCACACTAATAATGTTCAGATTGAGTGTGTACAGAAGACCCGTCCATATGCAGCATGATCCTGTATGGCAGCAATATGAGCTCCTGGCTGTAATGCAGACCAGAGGCCTTTGTACATGCGTTAAAACACTAAAACTTCATGAAATGTCTTTTAGAGTGATGTGTAAAATTACATAACTTTTTCCAGCCTACATGCATGCAAACATCTCCGGTCTGTTCTCTGTACCACTCCATTGCCCTTTTTTTACAGGCACTTATAAGCACGCTCTGACCCACAGTGCCCTGGTGGAATGGAGAGGTTTGTTTGATTTGAGTGGAATAATGCAATTATATCAGTGAACTGGCAGTCCTGCCTGTTTTTTTCTATGTTATTATTGGTTTACTTTAATTAATTGTTTTTATCAGCTCTGCAAATGTTTCTAAAGATTTTTTGATGAAGTAGCTGTATTGAAACAGCTCGTGTTTCAGTAGACGTTGTTAAACTCATCGTAACAGAAGGGTCGACAGCAGTTCATTGAGTTTTCTATTGTCTGTGTGTTTTCGTGACAGTGAGTGTGTTTCTTTGCAGGGGAGGTTAGTTGTCTATGAGGCTGTGGAAGCAGGAGAGATTTCGAGCTCTGCTGAACTGAAATGAAGTGTGTGTGAGAGTGAGCGATAAAGAAGCAGAAGTGGTTCTTTGTTATTCAGTAGCATCTCCAATCTGAAGGTCACTTGGCCGCCTCACCGTCGGTGTGCAAAAATGAGAAATGTGTTTATAAGAACCAAAACAAGAAAAATAATGGGATTTATTTTATTTTTTTTTAAGAAATGGTTCACCCAACAAATGTTTTAAACATCTGTTGTTCCAAACCGGTTTGCATTTTTTTTTCTTTTTTCTGTGGAACAGAAACAGATATTTTCAAGAATGCACAGGCTGCTCTTTTCAATAGAATAAAAGCATAGAGGCTCTAAATAGGCATCACAAAAACATTAAAGTGGTTCATATGACTCATGCACTATATTGCACATATTCTGAAGCCATATTTGCTCTAGCTTTGTGAGTAATGGTGTTATTTTTGTATTATATATAAAGTATATATACTCTGTCAGTGTTTATCAGTATTTTAATTTTTGTAGAATAAAAGCATAGAGGCTCTAAATAGGCATCACAAAAACATTAAAGTGGTTCATATGACTCATGCACTATATTGCACATATTCTGAAGCCATATTTGCTCTAGCTTTGTGAGTAATGGTGTTATTTTTGTATTATATATAAAGTATATATACTCTGTCAGTGTTTATCAGTATTTTAATTTTTGTTTTATTTTTTTCCATTGTATTTTTATATTAATGTATAATATTTTTAATAGATTTGTTATATGTGTGTGTGTGTGTGTGTGTGTGTGTATATTAAATTTCAGTTTAAGTTAGGGCTGCTCGATTATGGCGAAAATCATAATCACGATTATTTTGGTTAATATTGTAATCACAGTTATTTACCTCTATTATGGGCCATATGACCAAAACTTTATATGAATGATTTATTTAGAGATAGCAATATATATCACATATATATTTTCTGTAAAAAAAGTTGCTATGACATCTATGT